AATTTGAAAAGATAACATAGTTATTGCGAAGGCATATTTGCTAACAGTCGTAAAAACAAAGTTTTCAAAGCTAGGGACAGCACCTAAATATATCTCTTTTGAGCATGCTCTGGCTTTGACTCTGAGAATAGAAACTGTGGGGTGTTCTTTCAGTCGTGGTTTCATAGGTTTGTCGGTTTCGAGAAAATTGGCGTCCATCGTAAGATTTACGAGTTTTCTTTAATTATTCCTGAGTATTTTAGTGATCATATAGCCGCAAAGAACCGTTCACTGTCAGAGATGCATTCCAATCGCAAACCAGTGCTGAAAAGTTGCTATTTCGGCTCACCGCCCACCGTTCCTTGGGCCGGCACCTACATCAATTCACCATTAGCAGCCATCAGCGGGCGCGTGTGGAGCCTCACAGGCCCGTCCATCTTTCATCTGGGGACGGTGCGGGATCGGACACACTAAGCTGCGGTTTTTGTTATGGCTGTTGACTGTCATCCCGTTAGGCGATGCCACCAATTAATGACATCAGCGTGGCTGGAAATGACACCAGTGAGCCCCGCTCACTCGTAAAGAGTCTCACGGGTGAGAGACGGCACTGCCGTCGAGGGAGAACTCAAGCACTCTGAATTACTCCCACAAACAGCAAAATGGTTGGTGTGTTGCAACCATAAAGGGAAAGCAAAAACTTCCAGGCGTAGAAGACAAAGACATTCAGAATTCGTAATAGCCCCCCAATTGAGTATTTCAAGATACGTAGAAGTAGCGGGTACTCACGCACGAAGTCAGGTTTCTCCGTAGGACCCAAAGAGGAAGGGAACGAACGCACACTTCGGCTTCACCATTATTACCGACCTCTCCTAACTGCAACAAAAGAAACGACTGGAACTTCGCGCAGTTCTGGAAGATTAAGACTGGACTTTGTCTCGCAAAACACAGCCAGGCTGCAACGAAAAACAACACAATTACCAGTGAAAGTTGGTAAAGCAGGTGCTTATAAGAAATCCCAGCTCCAAAAACGCACTCCTCCAGACATTTCTCACCGCTCAATCCTGAGCTTTCGACATAAGAAAATACGAGTATGTGCAATAATGTCCTGAGAAAAGCGAAGGTCAAGAATCAAAATGTGGATAGGAAACATGAGAAAAGATTCTTCTCTCAATTCAACGAAACATAGTTAAAGCCCTTCCTTACACCCTTCCCAATCAATCCAACAGACCCTTTTGATTAAAAAAACAACGGTTGCTTGGCTTGGTCGATGGCTTCCAAAAGCACGACGAAGAAAGCAAGCCATTCGAATTCGGCTGCTGTCACCCATTTACCATTGGAAGGCAGGGCTGCATGCCGGGACAGAAGAGATCAGGGTCACACTGGTTGTTAGTTCGTGGAAGATATCGAACTGACAGAATGCTAGATCGAAAGTTTAAATGTATGGCGACACTCAGCACAAAAAAAAATCAGCCAGTTTAGCCATGACCATCGGGATAGTCGTCAAATGATTTTAAAAAAATCAAAGAGTGATGGAACAAAACATCGACGAACCTTCCTTTACAAAAGAGCACATCTGCGACTTGACTACAAAGTACAATCCCATCCGGCGACAGGTGTATTCCGAGGGGTGGAATGCATGCCGTGACATGGAATGCAGCAAGACATTCCGCTCCACCGGGCGACGGATACCAATCAGTCCATTTGCATCCAGTGGTTCCACCATGTACCGCGTGCCTCTGGCCCGCGCCACCAGCGCCGTTCCAGCGAAAATGGGGGCTCGCCCGACGCGCTCTCGTGCAGTCGATTCGTGACGGACGAACCACGACTGGACGGGGGAGCTGAGGAGCCCTCGCCGAGGCGCCGAGAGGGCCGTTCGTCTCTCTGAGCGATCGTGGGCGGGACAGACCGGCTGCCGGACCGGACCGGACCCGCCGCGCCGACCGCAGCTATTCGGACAGGGGTAAGGTGCGGCCGCCGGTGACAGGTGTCAGCCTCTCCGGCGGTACTGGAATTGGAGAATAACGACACCGGCGTCGGCTGGCGACCACAGGCACTGCGACACGGAGCCCCGGAGACGGGTCTCCTCGCTGCGGCGGAGGGACTCCCGCTCAGAAAGCCTTTCTTCCTACCTCCAGGTTCCTGGAAAACGCATACCAGAACGCCGGCGATCGATGATAGCCGTTGCCTGGAGAGTATCTAGACAGCATACCAGACACGCAGTGGACACTCGATAGTCCAAAACTTGATGGCAGGTGGGTCATCACTCATCTTCCCAAGGAAGACTGACCAGTTGTTATCCCCTACTGCTATCTCCATAGATCGACTATTGTTTGCATATTCGATCGCTGGCTGAAAAACACGCTTCGAAACTCAATCCGAGTGTAGCATCAGGCTAAAAAATACACATATGCGTACTTCTCAATTTTAGAAATGTGCAATGGAAGAAATCGTAAGTTCCCCCATTAGATTTGCTCACACACACTAAGGATAGGCTCCCACGTTGCTATTGCTTCCGGGTTCACATAAACCGGCTTAACGTAAAACTTTGTTCCTGGCCAAAATTGCCAGATGTAATGACCCCCGGCTCCAGACTGGCTTTAGGCTGGCGGAGCAAAAAAAAAAAAATCGCAAAAGGCTACGACACAGAATGGCCAACTCTCTTGCATATAAACCCACAAATGCCAGCAGAACAGGACGCCGGCCGCCGTGCGGGTAAGGCCCGCCACCAGCGGCTCTCAGAGGCGCGAGACGCGTCCGTATATCGCGCCCCGGCAGGATGTTCCGTCCGATTCCAGACCGGCACCGGATGGGACGGCGATGCTGCCGCGTTCTCACACGTCCAGTGCAGTGTTTCGACTTGGCACAGATATTGCGGAATTCAAACTGATCAAAGAGCGATTCGTTTGCCTGATGGTTACAGCTACAAAAGAAGCTGAAGTTGGGGAATGAATTTAGTCTCGATATGCGAAGATAAAAATTATCTTGTGGCCTCTAATAATTTAATCCAATCACAGCTTTGTGTTTTTTTTTTTTAGAAATTAACACCTTTTTGAAGAAGCTGTCATCATCTGTATCATCATCGTCCTTAATCCCATCAATAAACAACTAAGGAAATACAAAATTATACAAAATCCAACAAAACACAAAAAGGGCTTCACAGTTCTTCACATTTTTGACCAAAATAACCACAAGGTGAAGGATAATGAGATTAGAATATATGAGGACCTGAAAAAAGGACCTGAAAATATTTTAAAACACATAATAAAATAATTAAACACACAGGCAAGAAATATCACATAGCTACATGAAAGATATATAATGATACATTACAAAAAACATCTCAAATAAGGCAGGGTCTTGGTATGAAGTTACAGATATATTATGCTAAGTATTGTGTGTAAATACACGTATTTCCCAATAAACACATATACTGGACTGCTAAGCTATTACACACTGGGTGAGCACTGAGCTTTGTCATCAAATAAGGAGTTGAGGCCTTGAATCAGCAGTAAATTAATCTATGTCAATAAGCTGACAGCTGTCATTTGGTGATTCAGGATACCTATGGCATGGCCATGAGTGATTACCAAAGTGTTGGCATCAGAAATCATGGCCCACTTCATAATCAGACTAGCAAGTGCTGAGGCCCTAAATTCTACTTATGATATGCTTTGAAAAAGACCAAGTAGCTTCATTAAGCTCACTTTTCTTCAAGCTTCAGACTCATAAGCATCATATAATAATACCTGACGCTATTCATGTTACATAGGTAGGTCCGGTAGCCACTTACCACCACTGATGCCAGCTTATGCACCAGTACAGGTATTAGTAGAGCAGACGTCACACGAAGGTTTTCCAAGAAGGTTTTCCAACCAAAGAGAGGCGCCATAACCGTACGTATTTCTTTCTAGGAAAACCTTAACAAACCTAACCTAACCTAACCTGACCTGACCTAACCTAACCTACAACCTACAAACCTACAAACCCACCCTACAACCTACAAACCTACAGCACCTCTCCTCGGTTGGAAAAACTTCATGTGATGTCTGCTCTACTAATGCCCCAGTACCTTCAATGGTATTGAAATCTCCTATTGATTAATGTTTTAACCGCAGGCTGTTTGAAAAGACAAACACTATTCGTTAGAATTGTGCTTTTCTGTTATGATTCAAACATTAAAAAAGCCAAAATCATCTTATCTCATGTCTTATATTGCCTTTACTTGCAAATAACTACTCATATGCTAGATTCTACATGATTCTATTCAAAGTTCCGAATCCACCTCCCGAAATTCTCCCTTTTTTACTTGCTTCGACAAAAATACACAAATCACGAGAATGCAAATCCTCGCGCTTATTCCGGCAGGGAGCTGTCGTTCGCAACGACATTTTCTATTGAAAAACAACTGGAGCAGTTTGTGGTTCAGTAATGATAATAGCAGTGTGATAATGAGGACTGAGGATATTGACATGAAGTCCCCCAAAAAAGTTCACATGACACCAACAAACACTATTCGCACCTTCACCTATCAGTCTTCCTGCAACAGCTGCAAGGTGTCATTCATAGCACATCAAGATGGGTACTGTTGCCCAAGTAAAGTGCATGTTTCTGGACAATTTCTGGGTATCTACCTATTTGGTTTTCCATTATAATTGCCAGTAACTTTCAAGGCAAACCCTGAAGTAATTCTGTAACGTGTGCCTACCTACGTAACTGAGGAATATGGCCTCCAAGACAACTGATGGATGCCAAATTGCCAACTATTTGATGTCCTAAGATAATCTGTTCCAAGAAAGGTACCTATATGTTTAAAAAGTATAAAAAAGATGCTATTATTCATTTATTTAACTACCAAACATCCTACAGAAAAATTGCGTAACTCCAGTGAAAAATTGCGTCGGTTTCGAAACACATGCGCCATGGTTGTAACAAAAAAAGAAGACTATCCAAATTACAAGAAAATCGACAATCAAACAAAAATTATCGGACAGCATGTTAAAATCCATTCGTGATTGACTTACCAAATCTGCTTTAAATCAATGGTTAATGCCGGGCGAAAGGAATAAATGTGTGTCAAGCACCCCACCCTCACGCACAGCACTTCACTCGCTCACTTCTCAACCACTTTATCAGTCCCGCTGCTATGAAAAATGATCATAGCTTCATCGCACCACATATGACATAGTCACTCACATAACTAGGATGCTTCACTGCCCCCTTCCCGATAAATTTGTATCGAGCCCTAGCCGATCCCCAAGCCAAGCGGCGGCCCCAGACACCTCACACCGCGACAGCCAATCGCAGACTGAAGAGGCCGACCGACGGGCATGTGCAGAACGGCGGGCCGGGGTGCGCCGACGGTACTGACTGGGACTCATAATATCAAGTAGGTAAGTGCACTTTTCCAAAAACCATTTGAATGTACATTCTCAGCAACTATATAATAGTCATCATGCTTAGTGAACTAATCCTATCGAGATCATTTCGTTGACAGCATTTGATAATTGATTAGCTCGTATTCAACTCGCACCGGCTGTCCGGAGCCTTTATGCAGACAATCTGCCTTGCTTAACAACTGCTTTCAGCTTGAATCTTTCTCCTCCGCAGATGTTTCAATGAATAATGTGAAGATTATATGATAAATCGATCAGGTTCACACATAAAAGGGTGTCTTGCTGCAGAGGGCAGGGCCGTCTAGGAAAGAATTCGATGACGGCGACATCTATTCAACGTTTTTACTGCCCTCTATTGCCCTTGCATGTGTGCGACGACGGAAGGGCTTGTTTGTTCGCTTGTTTGCCTGTTTGTTCGTTAGGACTCGGGAGTAGGCTCTTAAACAAGAATATTGAAGATTTAGGAAACGATAGGGTAGGATAAAAACATTGGATTGAGTGGACCGCCGAAGGCTATCATGCAGTGTGCAGCCGGCAGCGACATCCTGTAGATATCTCGGTGGGATGGGAGTGTTCCGTTGGATTAGCCCGCCCTGCCACTCAAAACGGTCACCATCATCCGTCCTCGCCATTCTTGGGATAACCCCATCCGCATCCCCTCACACTCTCTTTACGGTTTGGCGGTCACCCCACCTGGCAAGTGACAACCGGTGGATGAGGTCGGGTCCACACTAGGACCCGTTAAAATCCTCTCCGGGGTGACCGTTTGCGGGAGGCGGGCGGACCGTCCCAACAGGGCAATCCGGTCCCACCGAGACGGTCTCGCCTCCACAGCTCACTGTCGGTGTCCCGCACAGCCCAATGTCTTACGCCCTACCCTATCATCCCATAGCTCTGCAATGGTCTTCTTAGGCCGAAACAGCTTGCTCACCCCCCCCCCCCCCCTCAAAAAAAAGACAGTGACACCAGAGATGGTATAATTACATAAATACTCAAATTAATGAGAAGCCTTCGTAATCCGTCCTTACTTTTCAGTCAAGACCAGCCTACATCTGCATTCTCTCACACCACGAAATCCGGGCGGACGGTGACCCCCCCCCCCCCCACACCAGACAACCGATGGTGAGGACAAATCCGTCATTGGAAGACATCCTCTCCGGGGTGACCATTTTAGCAGCACTGGCGGGATGTTTTACGGAACCTTTCCATCTCACCAGGACGGTATTCTGCTACTGCGCTGCACCGTCGGTGGCCCGCTCAGTCCAAACTCCAAAGTTTCCAGTCCATGATTCTAGCCTCTCAATCCTTGGCTCTGAGATAGCCTTTCCAGACCGAAAGAGCAAAACAAAAACAAAAACGCAGATATTGGTTGGTGAAAAGGTAAACTTACTGTTGAAATTGCCAACGGCAAACCGCGTTTTCAAAACCGCGTTTTCGTTTTCAAACCGCGTGGGCCTCGCCCTCTTCGAACAAATTATTTTTAAAAAGTTCATGTGCTATTTCTTCGGTGTAAGGTAAGAATGAGGGTCGAAATCCCATTTCTTGATCAGATGATCCGACTCCTTGTGACTAGACAGACTTTCGCATATCCAGAAACAGCCCTGTAATGTTCCTTCATCCGTCGCTAGATGGCAGCATAATCGAACGCCTGTACTTAGGCTGACCCGCATGGCTTTACCCTGGCCGGCCGAGGGGGACGGTTGCTGCCCCGGGCCTCCCATAGGGGTTTTCGTGATAGCTCCGAACACGCCGGTGATAGAGAGCTAAAACTTGGCAAACCTGACCTTTGATCCAAGCCACATCTTGTGACGCCAACTGATTTTTTAGGTCAGGTCAGGTCACTGACCTATGACGTCATAAGTGAACCTCTGCACGGTCCTCAGATGTCGCAACTTCGCAGCGCCCTCAGTGCCAGAGGAACTTTCGCAGGGAGTTGAAACTTACAGGATGTAGTATACTCCAGAGGTGTCACAACTTGTATATCTCGGATTTTCCTAAAGGTCACATGAGGTTAGGTCGGTCACGTGACTTCACCATTATATCAGTCAATGGGGAAAAAAATGAAAACTCCTATTTTGGCGCCGGGGACGATCTCAAACTATCTCAACCACACGGAATCGTAATTTGTTGCACTCCTTGCACGTTCCGACGCTTCACTTTTGCATTGTTGACCTTGCGTGACGTCATTTATGACGTCACTTGGACCATAAGAGTTTTTCGTCAATAACTCCCGATCAAATTAAGCTAGCGAGTCGGGAAAGCCACCATAGGACCCAGAAAGACCTGCCGAATCGAATGCTATGCGACATGACCTCCTTTGACCAACTTCGTAACCTGGTGGGGCGCTCACCTGACCTTGACCCGAGGTCAATTCTCAAGTTGACCTGACCCGAACAAAAAGTATACCATTTGACGCGCCTGAGCAAGGCGAACATGATGATGCCAATTGCCAAAATCGCGGCTCTGTGACCGTTTTAATGAAAAACTGAACCTGTGCCTTGGGTCACTTGGCCTGACCTCATGGGTCATCGGTTGACCTGAGACCTTCAAATCGGGCACCAGTCGGCAGTCTCTGCGTCTCGTAACGGCGCACACGCTCTTTTTTTCCACGACGCTCTAGCTTCATCAAAAGCGAAACGGCGAGGGGGTCGTACCCCCCCCCCCCCCTGTCGGCCGGCGCGTATGTAGAAAACCAATAGGTCCGGCGACGGCGAGAGTTAAAGGAAAAGGGCCACCTTTAACATGGGGATTGAAACTGAGATAGCCATCTTGTAGCCCGTGTCCGAAAACCTATATGTCTACCTCCTTACGGCCGATTTCGGCCTCCATTCGTAGTTATCGGCAATTTTAAAAGAAAATACGCCAGGAATGCGTCCTTATCCCAGGAATGCGTTCTTATCCGACAATACAGCCACCCGCGGCGAGGCTTTGTTTTTTTACCAATCAGCTCCAACCAGCTCAGCTTTAACCAATCAGCTTATCTGACACAATCCGACGAGTCTGTCTTCTGAACGCTGATTGGCTTGAGTGTGACGTCATCGCTATGCCATCATACAGTAGGTGCCGTAGAGAGTATCAACATAGTACCAATATGTTAAATAGTTTTAAATACTTTTTCGCGAATTGTGCACTTCTGGCACCAGTTTTAAAAAGAAAATGAAAAATAATAATGTCAAAATGAAAAACAACGATATCTTCATATTTCACGAAGGTGGCCCTTTTCCTTTAAGGTCATTCCTCACTTCTCTAACTAGCCGAGAATCATCGCAGTCTGATCTTAGACGATTTTGGGCTCGAGCTGTAAGTAATACATGACCTTCAGACTTCAATCGTAACTATCAAGACTACAGGAAAAAGACATCCCTGCTCTCTGCAGCTGTATTGGTGTATTGCCCAATGCCCAAGTATGCCAGCCGAGAACGTAGGTAGGTATATGGGCAGGGGTCCTTTGGATTCCCTCGTCGTTCGGCCCTGATTGAGCTAGAGCTTTGCGGAAAAAGCCAACGTGTTGCCCGTGACGAGAGGAAGCTGTTGATACCCGATTTTAATTTCCTGGGTCACTGGATGACCTTCCAGATTAGGTTAATGACCCAAAAGTCGAGAACATCGGGACCTGCTAAAACTTCGCTAAGTGTGGTTGTTGGGGCTTTCGGGGTGCTGATCACGAGTTTCATGTCACTTTTGATCACAGATGATGTCTTCATGCATTCAGGCCAGGTTGGGTCAGGTCAGGTCAAGTCAACCAGTAGGCGGTCTGCCGGCTATCCATATAAGTTCGTGTCAACAACCACTGACAGCTTCGTAAAATGTTACGAAGGCACCAAAACTACTTCTAAATGTGCAAATGGGTGCTTAATTCGAAATAACCTCCAAAAATTACCCGAGAAATGCCGGGTTCACACCGGATTCCGGACCGGCAAAATTCCGTCTGCCGGGCCGGAAAAATGGCCAATTCCGTGCCGGAAAATTGAAAACTGGTGTGAACCGGCAAATCTGGCAACTTCTTTTGACCGGTCCGGCAGGCCGGAGAGCCTGATTTTCCGGTCCGGCAAAAAGTTGAAATCATCTCAACTTTTGCCGGGCCGGATAGCCACCGTTTGTGATATGAAATTAAGGCACGAGGGAAATAATGTTATGTTTCAGCGCTACATGACCAATTTACGCCGGGTTCACACCGGATTCCGGACCGGCAAAATTCCGTCTGCCGGGCCGGAAAAATGGCCAATTCCGTGCCGGAAAATTGAAAACTGAGGCCTGTTTCACTAAAAACTTGTATTTACAAGTGTTTGTAGTTTACAATTCATAAGTATTTTTACCAAATACGTAAAAACCGATTTCACTAAGCTTCATCGCCAGTGGCACCTCCGATAAGAAAATGTTTGCAAATAAACTTGTAAACAATAAAAATGTTTTTAATCAAGAACTATAGCATGTTAAAGATATTGCTTCTTTGTATCAAATATTGTATAGTATTTATGTCAAAAGCTGCCTAATTAAATTAAAATAATGATGCTGTTGGAAAAAGATATAAATGATAATTCACATTGTCCTATTATTGAAAGAAAATAACACGCAAAACATTTGACAGCAGAAGACTGTTGAATGCAATTATGGCGCGCGAATGACAAAACATGACGATATTTTAATACCGATTATTTTGCTTGTTAGGGTGTGTGATAAGTAAAAATATAGCATGAAACGACTCAGCAAAGCATAGTTGTTCTAAATTTATGACTGTTTTGCACTATTGCACAAAAAGTATCAAAATTCCGAACGTCAGGACCACTGGAATTTCAGGTTTGTAATTACGATGTTTTCTTTCAAGTTTCTGGTCTTCGTGAAACAGAAAGTTTGCGATTCCCATGTTTTCTAGCAAACTTTTTCTTGTAAAAAAGTTTGCAAATTTTAAACTCAAAATTCATGTTCAAAGGTTTCGTGAAATCCAAATCTCAAATGTTGGTAATTATTTCTTGTAAACTCAAGCTTTTTCTTTGTAAATACAAGTTTTATTTGTTAGTGAAACAGGCCTCAGGTGTGAACCGGCAAATCTGGCAACTTCTTTTGACCGGTCCGGCAGGCCGGAGAGCCAGATTTTCCGGTCCGGCAAAAAGTTGAAATCATCTCAACTTTTGCCTTGCCGGATAGCCACCGTTTGTGATATGAAATTAAGGCAGGAGGGAAATAATGTTATGTTTCAGCGCTACAGGACCAATTTAACCAACGGTGCCCTAATAGTCTCGCGATTTTTCACGAGAATATAAAATTCAAGCGTAAATTTGACGGCGTTTCATTTTTATTTCAAAACATTTGCATCTCAAACGGAGTGATAGCTACATTTCTGTTTTTGTATTTCACATGACTCATGGCCTTTTCAAATTATAAATTAATTTCATTGGTTGGAAAATATTCATGACTTTATAATAAAAAAGATAAATATTATAAGGAAGCGGTGAAAAGGGCGAATTTGTGGAACAACATTGCGGACGCGCTGGTTGTAGAAGGAGCGGAGCCAGTATCTGCAGAAGAGATTATCAAGCGCTGGAGCCGGCCGCAGGACAGGTAGCACAATGTACAGTGTGTCTAAAAAGAATGTACCGTCGCCACTACGTGGCGCTGGTGTCGCGAGCCGGTAGTTGGCTGAATCCGCACCAGACCACACATTCCCAGGCGCTAGGTGACAGCTGCGCAGCGGCCGGTAGTAGCGTAAGCCCGAACCTTCGTGACACGACCCCGGGGGGGGGGAGGGAGGGGAGCGGGCGGGGCAGCGCGTGTAGGGAGGGGTGCTCCAGCAAGCTGGCAGTTGTCGCGACCAAAGGTCAAGGGGTCACACACCAAGCGAACGGACGCTGATGTGGGTTCGTGGGGATCATGAACTTGTGTGTGGTAGGTGCGTCTTGCGATGCACGGATGATACGCCAGGTCTAAACCAAAGGATTCAGGGGAGAGCTGAAGAAAACACCTGGTCAACTACGGCGAATAATAGTGCTGAAAAATGGAAAGTATGGGTCAATGCAAGCCTTCATGACTATAAACAACTTTCTGAGGACGCAAAGGCCAGCATTGAATAACGATATCCGGATCGAAATTAGCAATGATTTATAATGAAATGCCGAACTAATAGCGCTGCAAAACCCTCCTAGTAAATTGTCAAGGCGGATTATACCCACTTGAATTAAACTATCCTAAATAAAATTGTTAATTAACTTTCTAACACTGACGTTCTTTATCATACGATAAGTATGGGGTTAACCAAGATTCAGCATCTTCCGCGTTCAAACAATCACCTGTAAGGCTGGAACATTAATGGCCAGGTAAAAACATGGTCGGGATTTGATTAACCGGATTATAAGTCGATTTTTTTAGCCGGGATTTGATAAGTCAGATTTTTTTACGCCAACCGCATTTTTAAGTCAAGTCAGGTCACTGATCTATGACGTCATAAATGAGCAGTCCTAAAATCAACTGTGTGAAACTGTCCTAAACTGTTCTCAACATTTTAGGACTGTGTGCACACTCCTAAAATGTTCAACTTCGCTACACCCTCAGAGCAGAGCTTTCATAGGGAGATGAAACTTACAGGATCTTATAGTACGATCGAGGGTCTCGCAACTTGTATAAATGTATATCTCGGATTTTCTGAAGGGTCGCCTGAGATCAGGTCAGTCTCTGACCATTAAAAGTCAGGGGAATATGGAAATTGCTAGTTTGGTCCGGAAATGATATACAACTATCTCAAATTCTGAAGCATACGGAATCGTGATTTCATGTGCTCCTTGCAAGGTCTGATGCTTTAATTTTGCTTTGTTGATCTTGCGTGACGTCATTTATCACGTAACCAAGGGTATCAGTTTTTCGTCAATAACTCCCGATCAACTAAAGCTACCGAGTCGATAAAGCCACTAATGGACATGAAAAGACCTGCCGAATCGATTGATATGCAATATGACCTCCTTTGACCAGCTTCGTGACCTGACGGGCTGTGACCTGACCTTGACCCGAGGTTAACACCTTAACTCTCGCCCATATTGGTGTTTTTCCAGCCGCAAACGTATTAGGGGGGGGGGGGGTCCGTTGGACCCTCCCTTGCCGTTTCGCCCCTGATCGAGCTAGAGCTTCGCGGAAAAAACGAGCGTGTTGGCCGTGACGAGAGGAAGTCGATGATACCCAATTTTAAGGTCCTAGGTCATCGGTTGACTTTCCAGGTAAGGTCAATGACCCAAAAGTCGGGAAAATCGGGCCTGTTAGAAAGTCGTAAAGCGTGGCTGCTATGGGGTTTTCGGGGTGCTGATCACGAATATCATGTTAGTTTTGATCACAGATGATGTCTTCATGCATCTTCATGCATTTAGGCCAGGTCGGGTCAGGTCAGGTCAGGTCAACCAGTAAGGGTATTCGTAGTAGGTGGCAACCGCCTCTGACAGCTTCGCAACATGTTACGATGGCACCAAAACTACTTCGTAAATGTTCATATGGCTGCTAAATTCGAATTCAGCTCCTAAAACTGGCCTAGAAACATGTAAAGCTCGAAAAAGTGAGCCGAGGTCATCAAAGGTCAATGACCTGACCTGACTTTCCGGTGACCTTGACACCCACCCTAATGCATGGAAGCAACATCATATCCCATGTTTGAACGCTTAAAACCACGAAAAGACTGCAAACGCGCCGCTAATGCGAGCCGACATACGCCGAATCGCGATTCCGGCCAAACATGGTCTCGAAAAGTAGGTCGCAGGTCAAAGGTCATTAAGGTCAGGGTCATGACAATTTCAGGGTGGGTGTAAAATTGATTAACGCGAGGGTAACGAAAGTTTCGTCGCGATCGGCCGCTTTTTACGCGAGTTATTAGCGAAAAACAGAGGGAGGGGGTCCGTTCGACCCCCCCCCCCCCTCTATACGGGCGAGGGTTAAGTTGATCTCACCCGAAGAAAAAGCATACCATTCGACACGCCTGAGCTAGACAAACACGATGCTGCTAAAATCGCGGATCTGCGATCATTTTTAGCTAAGTTATTTACCAAAAACCGAACCTGTGCCTTGGGCCACTTGACCTGACCTCCGAAGTCATCGGCTGACTCTGGTGCTTAAATCGGAGACCAATCGCTGCATTTCGTAACGACGCACACGATCGTTTCTTTCGTGAGGCTCTAGCTCAATTAGGGGCGAATCGGCGAAGGGGGTTGTTTCCTCACTTCCAACCCCCAACGTCCCTCGGTATTCAGAAAACCTGAAGGTCCGGTGAAGGTTAAAACGTTTCTCCTGAACGAGGAAGAAATGTAAAAGTCAAAGCTCTATAGACGTCCTGTAAAAGTGGCCATAATAATAAATTCGTTAGAAAGATGCTTTTTAAACGACTTCCTCATATAAAATCGGGTGCTGGGACCAATCTTATAAACGCTTTAGAATGGACAGGGCGTCACTGGCTAAAGTTTGGGTGCAGAAAACGGCTATTACCTAAATGCAAAATGGTTTTCATGCATTTCAGTCAATTGTATATTGTCGGTCCCAGTGGCCCAGCTAAAAAAAAATCGGTAGTGTTTTGCATCTTTACGCCCTGAGAAACTACACCATCTATCGAAGTGGGCGGGCTTATTTGAATGGGAGGGCGCATTATGCACGAATCGAGTGCTTTCGTTTATTTTGGACTGTATTTTACCACATCCACTGCTGGTATCACTATTAATATTATCTAATGCCGTGAATACGACAGCATTCCATTTATAAGATTGGGCCAATGGAGTCGCGCCCCGCGAGCTCGGTTTTCCGCTGGGCCGCTACACGCCAGGAAGTCGGTCTTCGCCTGAGGGCAGGACAAAGGTCAGCGAGGGAGCGCGGGGTCAGCCAGGTATCGCCAAGTGCCGAGCGGATGCCGCTCCCTCCCCTCTCTTCCCCTCTTCTCCCCTCCCCACCTCGGTATAGATGGGGAGGGACCGAACTGCCAATGACATGCGAGCGGTCAAGGCCGCTCGCGCGGCAGCGACCCTGGCGGCCGGATGCCGCAACTGGGATTCAGCCAAGTTACCGATTCGCCTCCTGTGGGAGAGCCAAACCAGGGGACATACTTTTTAGATATACTGTACGTACCTATTGCTAACTTCCGTCGTCTACGAAGTGGAGCCAGCCGAGCAGATTCTGAAATCTACATTCTACAAGACGCGCTGACAACACTTCTCTGCCCTCGATGCCCTCCTACACAAGCACATAGCAGCTCGGGAGGGTGGAGGCAGTTTTGCCATTCAATCGCAAGTAGAAGATTCAGGAAATACGATGGTACTGAATGCCAAGGATATTATCCCGCGCCCTGCTGGGGGTGGGGGTGGGGGGATATTTGAACCCTCCCTGTGGTTTTTCGCAACCATCTAAAAAACGGCGGCTGTTTTTGGCACACCTTATCATGCATCTTTTCTGCACATGTAAAAATTGTAGACCAAGGTCACTTAAGGTCAGGTCACCAGGTCACTTCAAGTGACCTCACCTCATACAAAGTTTCAACGTCTTCCATATGCTACATCGAGCGACCGACCTCTTTGAAACTCTCAGCGATTGATAAGGGCAACAATATGTACACAATTTAAATAAATAACTATCTCGGAATTTTGATATCGGTGACCTAAGGTCAGGTCAATTTTGTGACCGCCCCCCTATTATAAGTCAATGGGAGAAAATTGATGCCAAGTTATGCGTTGGCTTGTTGTAAATCGTCGACATTCGACCTGAAAATCGGTGAAATTCGGCTTTCCATTACCTCTGGTGACCTGACCTTTGATTTGACCAAAAAAAGTGACCGAATTAATTTCGTCATTAATTTTGACACTCTTTCGAACGCCGCCTTCCCCGTATCGCTACGTGGCCCAGGAGCCGAGTTAAAAGGGGGGGATGTTAAACACCTCCACCAGCAAGGCGTGGAAATTTAGGACCCCCAGCGGGGCGCGGGTTATGGCAGTAGAGTTCAGTGACAGTCAGATGACCGATTTTGAGACCCAGCCATCTACATCAGCAAGCGTAATATCAAGCTCGCCGTCTCTAATGCGCCCTGCCCAGCCCTCAATTCCTCTTTGTTCGCAAGTGTTTTTAAACCAACAACAGCCAAAGCGCGATTGAAATTTATTAGTGTCTTTTTGTCGATACCCAGCCCGCATGCTGTAAATGTTAAATTGTATTAATCTTGCTAATATACCTACCAGTGAAGTATGGATGATTTTCGGTTGGGTGGAACTGCATCAGGGACTTGTAAAGCCGTCACACAAGTATGTTCGATTTCAAAATAATTCGCGAGATTGCTTGGTACCTACTCATCGTACTTGATGGTTGATGATTATGATATTTCCGGCTCGACTTTCCGGTTTTCCGGTTCTAGCGACTTTTTTTGACATCTAGCGACAATTTCAACATTTTGGTGCCGGCCCGGCAGACGGAATTTTTCCGGACCGGAAAACCGGTGTGAACCCGGCTTTAACCAACGGTGCCCTAATAGTCTCGCGATTTTTCACGAGAATATAAAATTCAAGCGTTAATTTGACGGCATTTCATTTTTATTTCAAAACATTTGCGTCTCAAACAGAGTGATAGCTACATTTCTGTTTTTGTATTTCACATGACTCATGGCCTTTTCAAATTATAAATTAATTTCATTGGTTGGAAAATAGCCATGACTTTATAATAAAAAAGATAAATATTATAAGGAAGCGGTGAAAAGGGCGAATTTGTGGAACAACATTGCGGACGCGCTGGTTGTAGAAGGAGCGGAGCCAGTATCTGCAGGAGAGATTAGCAAGCGCTGGAGCTGGCCGCAGGACAGGTAGCACAATGTACGTATTGCTAACTTCCGTCGTCTACGAAGTGGAGCCAGCCGAGCAGATTCTGAAATCTACATTCTACAAGACGCGCTGACAACACTTGTCTGCCCTCGATGCCCTCCTACACAAGCACAAGGCAGCTCGGGAGGGTGGAGGCAGTTTTGCCATTCAATCGCAAGTAGAAGATTCAGCAAATACGATGGTACTGAATGCCAAGGATATTATCCCGCGCCCTGCTGGGGGTGGGTATTTGAACCTTCCCTGTGGTTTTTCGCAACCATCTAAAAAACGGCGGCTGTTTTTGGCACACCTTATCATGCATCTTTTCTGCACATGTTGTAAAAATTGTAGACCAAGGTCACTTAAGGTCAGGTCACCAGGTCACTTCAAGTGACCTCTCCTCATACAAAGTTTCAACGTCTTCCATAGCTACATCGAGCGACCGACCTCTTTGAAACTCTCAGCGATTGATAAGGACAACAATATGTACACAATTTAAATAAATAACTATCTCGGAATTTTGATACCGGTGACCTAAGGTCAGGTCAATTTTGTGACCCCCCCCCCCATTATAAGTCAATGGGAGAAAATCGATTCCAAGTAATGCGTAGGCTTGTTGTAAATCGTCGACATTCGACCTAAAAATCGGTGAAATTCGGCTTTCCATGACCTCTGGTGACCTGACCTTTGATTTGAACAAAAAAGTGACCGAATTAATTTCGTCATTAATTTTGACACTCTTTCGAACGCCGCCTTCCCCGTATCGCTACGTGGCCCAGGAGCCGAGTTAGAAGGGGGGGGATGTTAAACACCCCCCAGCAAGGCGTGGAATTTTAGGACCCCCAGCGGGGCGCGGGTTATGGCAGTGGAGTTCAGTGACAGTCAGATGACCGATTTTGAGACCCAGCCATCTACATCAGCAAGCGTAATATCAAGCTCGCCGTCTCTAATGCGCCCTGCCCAGCCCTCAATTCCTCTTTGTTCACAAGTGCTTTTAAACCAACAACAGCCAAAGCGCGATTGAAATTTATGAGTGTCTTTTTGTCGATACCCAGCCCGCATGCTGTAAATGTTAAATTGTATTAATGTTGCTAATATACCTACCAGTGAAGGATGGATGATTTTCGGTTGCATGGAACTGCTGCATCAGGGACTTGTAAAGCCGTCACACAAGTATGTTCGATTTCAAAATAATTCGCGAGATTGCTTGGTACCTATTTATCGTACTTGATGGTTGATGATTATGACATTTCCGGCTCGACTTTCCGGTTTTCCGGTTCTAGCGACTTTTTTGACATCTAGCGACAATTTCAACATTTTGGTGCCGGCCCGGCAGACGGAATTTTTCCGGACCGGAAAACCGGTGTGAACCCGGCTAAACATGTAAAACTCAAAAAGTGAACCAAGATTATCAAAGGTCAATGACATCGACCTGACCTAAACGTAACCTTGTTACCCACCATAATGCATGGGATGTACAATGTACGGCTCTCCAGTAAAAGTCTTGTTGGTTTTGCTTTTTCGGACATATCTGGTCCTATATAATGTTTAAATGCATAAGTATCAACCCGGATTATGTGTATGCACATTTACCACGAGACTGTGAAATTTCATCGTTGTATGCCAAATACTTTCCGAGATATCCACCAAAAACCTCATTTTCTGCCGTTTGGGGTATTCTGGCCGCAATCTTCCTGGGATCGCCTATGACATCCATGGTGCCACCTAGCGAGAGGGACGCGGAAACACAGAATCATGAATGAATCGAGCGCGTAGTAAACGGTGTATGGAAGGGAGACTCGGCAGAGGCTATCCGGGTGGCCGGCGCGCGGCGCGCCCTTAGGCATCGGCCGACCCTTCGGACCGCGTGGGGTCAGAGGTCGCGCTCGGGAAGTCTCGGCTCTGGGTTTTAGCGCTGTGCAGTCAGGAAGGGAGGGGAGGATAGCGCTAGCCCGACTGACTAGTATCTCGGCTGATTCGTGTGGGGTGGAACGGATCACAGAACGGGATGGTGGCTAGTGGTAGATGATGGGATGGTGGTTAGGTTAGTGCGTACTGCGTAGAACGTAGTTGAACATGCTTTTTTCATGGCAAACAACATGCAGCATAATGTGCGGGATTATGCCAGAACTCATACAAAAAGGAACTAATATTTCAGCCGAGGGAGTGGATGAGTGCCGTGACAAAGCATGACGATGCTGCCAAAATCGGGATGCTTGTTTGCTCCCATTTTTTTTTTATTAAGTTTTAACCCTAACATGCAGCGCTTGATCCAAACTTAGAGGTCCCCGACTGACCTTGGACCTTAACCCTATTCCTGGCGGGGGGGGGGGCCTCAGGAGCCCCCCCTGAGGTTTTTTGGTTATATCTCCCAAACGCGTTGAGCTAGGAAGCTCAAATTTTCTGACTTTTCCTAAAAGGCTTCTACGCAACATGTCTGAAAATTTTGAGTTGATCTGACCTCAGGTCAGGTCACCAGAGGCGGTTTGGTGACGCTACCTCAGAAAAGTTTGCAATCACGCCAGAGCTAGAGTTTTTGACCCATCAATTTCTTCTCTTCAGGGTTTAGTTAGGGTACCAGTATGTGCAATTTGTATATCTCGGAATTTTGATATCGGTGACCTAAGGTCAGGTCAATTTCGCGACCTCCCCATTATAAGTCAATGGGGGAAAAATCAACTCCCTGTTTTTACCACTAAAACGGGTCGGAATGGCCCCATATAACATACATGACTTCATATACGATCAACCTTCACTACCTTGAGGTCTGTTTTGCTGTTGGGCAGCTGTGAGGTCATGTGACGTCATCAAAGGTCACCAAAGGTTTTTGGCCAATAACTCCGTACAGGAACAAGATACAGACGCGTGGATGGTCTCATTGTGTTCAGCTCGTCAAGACGCATCGAATGATATACATGATGACCTCGAGGTCACGTGACCTGAGGTCAACCTTTGACCTTGACTTTTCGAGGTCAACATATATATCATTCGATGCGGATTGACGAGAGGATCACGAAGATGCCCTTAGTTTGTTCCTATCTTGACTAATTCGAAAGTTATTCGAGAAAAACTCTCTCCATATCTAGTGCCGCCATTTTGACTTTTTCGACCCCTGTGACGTCATCTTTGACCTGACCTGAAAATGACCTTAGTAAAAATTGTAGATCTTGGCCGTGCGTATCCGATGCCGTTTACCGCTTGTCGCTATCTTGCTTCGTTCTCGAGATCTCAGGGGGGGGGGGCCGAATCGGCCCCCCCCCGCCAGTTTCTTGTCCCGGCGGAGCCCGCCAGGAATAGGGTTAAAATCGCACCCGTCCGGTGCGCCACCTTTTCTTCAGGGGCGCTCTTCTTGGTTGTATCTGTTCTTACCAATAACTAAAGCAAATCGAATGTATAATAAAAAGGGCATACCTCAAACACAGTTTAATTCACATCCGCTCGTGTGCATACTTGTTTTTACCTATACCTACCTTCTCGCATCATAATATATCACTTCAGTGCTTAACCTTCAACGGAATTTTGGGTTTTCTGCATATACCCCGGCCGAGGGGGGGGGGGGGCGATTACGACCCCTCTCCGTCTTTTTGCCCCTAATTGAGCTAGCGCCTTGCGGATAACGTGCGTCGTTTGAGATGCAGCAACTGGTACCCAAGTTGAATGTCTCAGGTCCACCGATAAACTCTGAGGTCAGTATAAATGCTCCAAGTCGCGGGATCGGTTTTTGGTAAACAACTTCACCTTAAGTGGTTACTGGTTACAGAGCCAAGAGTTTTGCATGCTCAAACGCGTCGAATAGTTTACGCTTTGTTTTTTGTTGAGGTCAATTTAAGGTGTTTACCTCAGGTCATGTCAGGGCAGAGCCACTCAGGCCACGAGGCTGACTCAAGGAGGTCATATCGCTTCTTCGATGCGGTAGGTCCTTACAAGTCCACTGGTGGCTTCCCGACTCGCTAGCTCAAATTGATCGGGACCTTTTGGTGAAATCTCCTGTGACCTTAGTGACGTCATAAATAAAGTCGCCTAACTTTAAGAATGGAAAAGTGAATGCTGGGGCTTGCAAAAATTGTATAAAATCGCGAATTCATGCGCTTGAGACAACTTTAGATGGCTCCCGGCGCCAAAATAACAGTTTTCATATGTCCCTATTGATTAATAATCGTGAGGTTGCGTGACCGACCTGACTTCAGGTGACTCTTAAGAAAAATACGAGATAGCTACATACAAGTTGTGAGGCCTCTGGGAGATAGTACTAGATCATATAAGCTTCATTCCCCGTTGAAAAGTCCCTGGCACGAAGGGTGCTGCGACGTCGCGACATTTTGGGGCCTTACAGAGGTTCACTTTTGACGCCATTGGTCAACGGCCTGACCTTAACCTTCGCACTTGTAAGAGGGTGTCGAACAGACCTCCTACCCTCAGTTTTTCGCAAATAACTCGCGCAAAAAGCGGCTGATTGCGGCGAAACTTTCAGTACCCTCGAGGTATTTAATATTACGCCTACCCTATAATTTGCATGACCCTGACTCAAAAGACCTTTGACTTGTGACCTGTTTTCCGAGACCATGTTTGGCCGGAATCGCGTTTTGGCGTATTTCGAGTAGAACGCGTTTTATTGTCTTTTTGTGCCTTTAAGCGATCAAACATGTGAAAGGATGTTGATCGCATGGATTCTAGTGGGTATCAAGGTCACGTGAAGATCAGTCAGGTCACTGACCTTTGATGACCTTTGTTCACTCTTTCGAGTTCTAAATGTTTCTAGGGTAGATTTTGGAATTGATTTCGCATTTAGAAACCGTTTGAACATTTAAGAAGTAGTTTTGGTTCACTCGTAACATGTGACCTGACCTGACCTGACCCGACCTGGCCTAAATGCACGAAAACATCATCTGTGATCAAAACTAACTTGAATTTCGTGATCAGCACCCCGCAAAACCCTATAATAGCTTCACTTTACGAAGCTCTAACAGGTCCCGATTCCCCGACTTTTGAGTTATATTGACCTGTCAACCAATGACCTATGACCTTCTCTCGCCGGCACAGGCCATTTTGCGTCCTTCGACGGCACAAGGGGGTTTGGTACGACCCCCCTCGCGTTTGGCCCCAGATCGAGCTAGAGCTTCGCGGAAAAAACGAGCGTGTTGCCCGTCACGAGAGGAAGCCGATGATACCCAATTTTAAGGTCCTAGGTCATCGGGTGACCTTCCAGGTCAGGTCAATGACCCAAAAACCGGGAAAATCGGGACCTGTTAGAAAGTCGTAAAGTGTGGCTGCTATGTGGTTTTCCGGGG